ATAATATATGTGTGTGTGTGTCTGTACTGTACCATTTCCAGTGTCTTCCATTTTTGTTTGCTGATTCATAGACAGCGGCACTACCTAAAAAAATAAATAAATCCAGCAACAATTATTTTAAAGTCATTAGACTGAATAAACAACAACAACTTTTATTGTATAAATAAATCCAGAACTATGCAATTTTTCATAATTCAAAATATTTTCATACTGTGAGTCTTTTTAAATTAAAATATTCTTCATTTGGCTGCCGGCTGCCAACACATTATCATATAGTCACCACAACACATTATCTGACTCCATCTCAGCCTCCCTGTCATTCTCCACAGTCACACCAACCCTCTACATACTCGACTAGTTATGGATAGATGACACCTTATGCACCTTATCCCCCTTACTGTGTCAATACTGTGTTGGCGTGTTACTCGATATGTGCTGAATTGTAAAAAACAAAACAAAAACCCCCCAAAACATTTCAGGCTACTGGGATCCCAGATGATCCCAGACTGGAGAAAATCATGTTTTCTCTCAACTTGGATTGTTTAATGGAGGATAAAAAGCTAGCACCTCTCCTCTTGGTGATTTGGAAATTGCAGTCAATTTGGCTCGGTCATATGATTTTTTTTTTTTTAAAGCTATACACACACTGATGAATCTTCTTCTATGGTCGTCTGCTTTACCTCCTCTAGGGCAGCTCCATCTTCACCTTCCTTCGTCCACTATGCCCACTGTCCTCTGCACATATCCAAACCATCTCAGTCTCACCTTCAATCTTGTCAACCTGAGCTGTCCCTCTGATGTACTCATTTCTACTCTTGTCTATCCTGGTCACTCCCAATGAAAATCTTAATATCACAAATCACCCCTGACACATTGTCAAACATGTCCTGCTCCACCCTCACAAACTTCTCTGTCACTTCTGACTTCCTCCAGCAGATCCACAGTTCCTCTCTTGACACCATATCATGTCACATAAAAATTTGACTTGTAACGCAGCCTCAATCAAAATTAAAATTTTAATAATAACAAATTTAAGTACTGACCAGGATGAAGGGGGCTGTTTTCACTACTTTCACTCTGGCTGAAGGTTTCAGGTGGTACAGTAGCTATTGTGATACCAAACATTTAAACAGTATTAAATGACACTATATGAGACATTTTTCAAAATACAATTTTTAAACCATTCTCCCAAAAAAGAACAAGATTATTTCGATGCTCATATATGTGCTAATACAACAAATGACAACTGAGTTCCTTCTCAAAGATTACGATTATTTAAAAAGAAGTCACATTTTTAAATGCTACTCACATTTAACCGTCATGTAACGCGATGGTGACTCTTTTCCTGAGTACTGACACTTGTAGAAACCTTCATCAGACTTTGACACTGCCAAGAAGTTCAGCTCCTCTCGGGAATCATTTTGGACAAGTTTGTCATTGTGATAAAAAGCCACATTGGGAAAGATTTTTTTTCTTCTCAAGTTGCAACTAAGACTAACAAAAGTTCCCTCATTCACAGGATCAACAGGGACCACCATGAGAGGACCAGAATAAAAGTCTGCAAAACATACAGAAGATATTGTTTCAAATGGACCAGCTGGTGCTGGATTTTAGAAAATAAAAAAGAGGGAAAAAACATGTGCAATAATAATTACTGATTGATCAAATGTCTTATAGCTTATAGCTAAAGATCTGATATGCGACTTATAAAAAAAAAAACAACAAAATCGTCCTTTCTTTTAGCTCATAGAGCCCTTTCAACTGTCAAGTGTGTCTCAGTGAGATGCTATTCAGCCTCAGCTGAATGGGGAGTACAATTACATCATAATCATATATATATATAAATTTTGGTAAATTAATTTATAAAACAGAATTGCTTAACATACATAGTGATAGAAATATTCATGAAACATTATAACACAAAAGGGGAAAAAACCATTCTACAAACCCTGTAAAGTGATGTTGACTGCATTGCTGAACTCTTTTAACATAGACTCACACCAGTACACTCCGTCATCTGAATATGTTGTGTCGATTGTGCATACAGATTCTCCTGACAGCCAAAAGTTGCTACAATATGGCCGGCCATTCTCTGGGAACTTCCTCACTCTCCATGAAGAAGAGTTTCCCTTACAAGTCAGTTTGACAAAGTCAGAGCCAAAATTTTGCACTACAGGGCCGACTGTGAGAGACGCTGCTGATGAAGCATCTGAAAAACAACATGGATCAATAAGTGAAAGCACAGGAAGAACAGGAAGAACACATAAAAACTAAGCATCATTACTAGGGATGGGTACCGGTGTCCGGTGCCATGATGGCACCGGTTCTGACATAAATGGTAGTAACCAGACCGAAAAGCAGCGCACATGTCGGTGCTTTATTTCGGTGCTTTTTTTTTCCTGAGCCTTGAACACTTCTAGCCCACCATTTTACGTTTCCGAGGATAGTAGGCGGGGCCAGGTACGTACGTTCAGTTAGAGCAGAGCTACAGATTAAAAATGTCCAAGGCGAAGCGGTCAAAAGTCTGGCTGTACTTCACAGCAAAATATGCAAACTCAGCAGCCTGCAAGAAGTGCTTTAAGCTGATACTGTGCAAAGGAGGTAACACCTGAAATTCGATGAAACACCTGGCGACGCATAGCGGGTTTTTTTTAAAAGCCGAGAAATGCGCCGTATTTGATGGCAGCAGCAGCCGTTCTTCTCTGTTGTTCGCGTGTAATTTACGCTGAGTAGGCTAACCACGTTATTACATTAATGCATGTAAGGTGAACTAGCAAACACCATCATAGCTACATGCGACTGTCTTCTTGTTTGATGGCAGATACTCCCTTCACCCTGGCCAAAAAGGCTAAAATGACCAAAGAAAAAGAGGGAAACAGCTAAACATGAGAGGTTTTTGGACAAAGTTTGTGTTTTTTCCATTGTTTAAGCACTGCTTCCAGCCAAGAGTGATACCATATATGCCCCATAGCTGCAGAAAAGGCTAACATTGTTATCTTTTTACATAAAACCAGCTGAATATGAGAGGTTTTTGGACCAATTTTGTGTTCTCCATTCTTTAAGCACCGGTTTGAGCACCGGCACCGTTTCAAAAGTACCGATTTGGCACCGGTATCGGATAAAACCTAAACGATACCCATCCCTAATCATTACAAGTATTGAGAGACAGAAAGAAACTGACCAGCAGACCAGACAAACTTTGGATCGCTGTAGTAGGTGTAGTAGTAGTTGCTTCCTCTTTCCGCTCTGCACACATATGCTGCTGTGCTTGTCTGCCCAGTAATGATGTACAAACTCTGAGCAGTCTTGCTGCCATCAGGTAGCAGCTCATATGTGTAGGGCTCCTCTGTTATTTTATAATAAGGAACAGCTTTATACCAGGAGAAGCTCCATCCTTCAGAAGGATATTCAACCTCACAGTTCAGAGTTACTGAGGCTCCAGGACTGAGCCATGAGGGAGACAGAGTGAGGACAGGATGCAGTTTAACTGTTGAAACAAGATTTTTTATTATTACAATTTTTTTTTTTTAGATTAGGCTTATATATTTATGTATTTTTTAAAATAATATTGCTAGATGATAGGTCTGCAAATCAGGCCAGGTTCACTCTGCCCTTTTGAAAACTCATCTTATCACTCTGGTTTAGTGTCTGTTCACTTTTGAACAAAAACATTTAAATAACTGGATGAAAACATGTAAATAAATATCACCAAATCTTGACAGTGGAATTACAAACTGTACCACTGTCATACATAATACTAATTTTATTGTTGTCATTTGAACCACACCATGTCACAATAAGCTGTGTGTGGCACACATAAAGTTACACACTGGAGAACACGATAACAGACACTGAGATACAACTGGAAAAACACGACATTTAGATTTGACAGACTTAGAGGGAGTAAAAAAAGGGAAATATGCACAAAGATGCTGAAGACGGGAGATCAGACTAGGCATGAAAAAGGGAACCAACATAAAAGAAGAAATCCAGTGCTATAGCTACCAAATTCAGAGAAAAAACACACATTCTAGAACTGGAACATAAATAATTTCTTAACTCTAAGGCAAAGAATCACATGTTCAGAACAAACTCAAAATACTGGGTCATTATTTAATGAATCAGTCAAGTGACTGGACTTCTTTAAGTCGAGTTGCTTTTCTTTCCAAGCTCTTTAGGTTACCATGGCCTGGATGAATGAGAATCTGCACAGACAAGTTATCGTATGTCTTTTTTTTTTTTTTTCTTTTCGTTACTAATTTGGATGAAACAGTTTATATGGATGAAAGATGCCCAACTTACATGATACAGTTACTGGAATGACATTACTCCACTGTGTGAAGGAAAGATCCGTTTTGCCTCTGCATTGATAATCTCCATTGTCATCCCAACCAACATTGTAGAATGTTCTTTCATTGGTTGTATAATATGTGGTAAACCTTTTTGGTCTCCAATCATAGCTCCAGTAAGTTCCTTCACCTCCCTGGATGTCACATCTGACAGTGAATGTTTCACCCATGTATATCTTAGTCCAGTTGGGCTTCAGGGTCAAAATGGCCGTAATAGGAACTGTTCACATAAAAATTAAAAGAAACACAGAAGCATCATCTAATTCAGTCCAATTAAATTTATTTACATAGCACCAAATGATGCCAACAATATATGTATATATATACACACACACACACACACACACACACACACACACACACACACACACACACACACACACACACACACACACAAAGTCTCTCTGTCTGGCTGAGAGGAAGACAAAACGAAGGACAGATCACATAATCTCATAACTTTAACTTCCATGGCTAAGAGATAAATAGAAGAACTTACGAGTGTCTTCAATGATGGCAGCATTACTTTGGTGTGTGATGCTACCTGAATCGCTTCTTCCTCTGCAGTGGTAGATACCTCCTTGTGACACATTAATGGCTTTCTTCCCTTCATATTCTGTCATAGGCTCGTCTTTAGAGCCATATGTGGCAGCTCTGTACCACAAAATGGTCCAGTTGTCAGAGCCGTCCACAAAGCAGCTCAGTGTCACGTTGCCCCCTAGTGGTATCTCATACCTCGTTGGTCTCAGTGTGGCAGTGGGTGTGTCAAAAAGGTACTTAACTTTTCCAGTAGGATTTAGAGAAAAGCAGAAAGAGAGAGATTTGTTTTAAAAGCTGTTGTTTCAGTTATATTATTTTCACCACAAAAACAAAACAGTGTGAAAAAGCAGCATAAAACACAATGTTCAACTTATTCTGCTAAAATAATAACTTGAATTGAAATTGTCCAAATTCGGATGTTAGGGGTATGTATGTATAACTCTGAGTGTGTTAGCTTTGCCTAATACCACATATAACAGCTGCTGTTTTATCATGAGTCTAGGACCTCAATAAACTGAATATGAACTGTTTACATAAAAATATCCATTTAGGAGATAAAAAAAAACCCCAAAAAAAACCCCAACTTTGGTCTTTATAACATAAGAATAAATGCAAGACAGCTAGCTGGGTCACTATTTTTGCATGTGTTGTTGTCTTACAGTTAGTTTTTAAGACAACTTAAATTTAAAGTCTTTATTTTGTACTAGGTTTCTTTTTTTGTTGTCATATTTCCCCTGCCCAATAGTAGTTTTTATCTGACAGGGAGAGGTCTTTCCAGAGGCTTTTGGTGTCTTCGTGATAATAGGACACTTTAGCCGGTGTTAAAAATACTCTTCATGCAACCGCAATTTGAGACAAGCAACTCATCTTACAGTGAAGGTACATAGAATTAACTGTTACATATGTACAATATAAATACAGAGAAAATGTAACTTTAATTGTAACTTAGAGTGCGGATAGTTTATATATCATAAAAGAGAAAGAAAAAAACTTCTTACCTTGAGCATCGTCAGAGAAAAGTGCTGCAAGCTCTGTAGCAAAGATTAAATTAGGACATTATCAAATTAGCAGACTATCAAAATCATTAAACGATGGGAAAAAGGAAACTTTACAAAAGATTGCCTGCCACACACACACACACACACACACACACACACACACACACACACACACACATACTGGTATGGGTTGTATGCTTTGCCCTTTTCTCAAACCTAGACGGAGTAGTCTTTGCACAGGTCCTGGACTCCTGAGCGGATGGCTGCGCTGTTCTAAAAGGTATGGGGGAAAAAATGGGTCACTTCAGACCTCTTACACTGTGTGTGGAAGTCAATAAAATCTAAAACACACCAACTGGACATTTTGAATTTGGGCAAATATGTCTTTCATAAGGTCAAAACAAACAGTTTATAGGGACTTTAAAGGGACAATGATGTCATTTATTAAATCCCACCTCATTAACATAAATACACCTTTGACATAACTGTTAT